TCAACAGATGATTATCTCATGTTAGGGTTGGGTGTAGAATTCTTTGTTGAAGTAATAGCAGCCAAGCAACCCAAGACCATTTAATTTGTTCATGATATGAGGATTCATGAGGTAGTTTACACATGGTTCCTGGATTGGTGTTGGTAAAAAAAAACTAAATGGTAAGTTGTGGAGAGAAGCTAACTGGTGGAAGAGTATTAGCTCCAGTGACAAAGGCAAGAATTGTTCCCAGCTTCTGTGTTCCCACTTAAAGTAATGGAAAAGCAAAACAGTCAAAAATTGCATTAAAAACAAAACATAAACACAGCAACACAAAATGCTTAAAGCATTACATTTACCTGCTGCATCTGTTAGGTAGACTCTTCAAAAGTAATGAAAACTGCTTCAGCATGCCCTTTATTGCTACTAGATGTAGAAAGGCAGATGGTAAAGAGGCTCTCAAGAAGATCAGCTGAGAGCATTGATGATTCATTTGTCTTCTTGGCTTTTCAGCCAATCACAGCAGTACAGACACCCTGCCTTGCATTTTTACTATACTTTTATACACATACCCATAGGTGATGTGTCGGTCGATATATGGATGATGCTTTCCAAAAAATAGCAACTAAACAAATAATTTTATCAGGTGCTTCTGAACTATAGAAATGCCTGGTCTTCAGGGAAAGCTGTTTTCATGATGTATGATGTTCATACTTAAAGTTGGGACATTTTTAAATGTAATTGTTGGTAAGAAATTCACTATGTTCATAAAACAAAAGTGGAATTACAAATAACATGATTTTTTTTTCACATACTTATAAACTCTTTTCATATTAAACCGCACCAGTGTCACTCAGCGATCTTTGGCTTCTCTCTCTGTAGTTCACTGATGATCCAATAAATGTGAGGAATCACTGGCCAATGCAGTGCTTTAAATATTTTCAAGTTATATTTTTTTAATCTTAAGTGGCTATATTTTTTTTCAATACTTGAGAGAGCAAGCTCATTCTGCTAGTGTTAATCATGTGAGATAAATGAGAATCAGATGTGGTGAAACTGAATCTTTTATTGTCTAATATCTGAAATTGATGTTGTTTAGCTGCATTACATTGAATGCTCCAATCAATGCTCCCAAATCATTGAATCATCAATCATTGAAGACAAATGTGTAGACTGATGTAGTTTGAACAGATTTAGCAGGGCTCTGCTGATATGCACAAAATACAGTGGCATGAAACCTTACTCACACAAGATTTTCTTCAAAAAAGCAGAAATTAACATGAAAAGTGCCATTTACTCTTTTTTTTTTTTTTATACAAAATCTTAGTGTGAGCAAGTAAAGATCTATAACAAAGAGCTTATAACTGAAATGTATTCGACTTTTGGTACAACAGTTTTCTGCTCTCTCTGTACATTTCATGTTAAGTCTCATTTGTGTTTTTCTAGATCTGGCCAGTCTTTGCTGGAGTCTGCTGTCAAAGTAGACGGTGCAAACCTACAACTGCTCAGCCTGACGTCTGATCTAAATGGACTCTATCAGTGTGAAGCATCTAACGCATATGGAAGTAAACACGGTCAGCTCTATGTGCATGTGACATCAGGTGAAGTCTTAGCGTCTATCTTTTATCTATCTTTTGTTTCTGTTTTTTAGATCTGAGCTTTTGTGGATGTTGTGTCATGTTGCATGTTGATGAATGGTTGCCGGATGCTTCACCCAGTGCAGCACATGTTATTAATACATGTTATTCTGCCTCACTGACAGAATCTCAGAGCGTGTCCTAGCTTGTGAAAGCTTTTTTCAGGGTCATATCAAGTTCATCTAATTTATTTTTGTACGTTAAAACTTGAAAATACAAGGAAGTTTTGAATGTGAAATATAAAACTAAATGTTAAGGAAGTGAGAAAGAACAATATTTAATTTCTTTCCCATGATATTGTTTCTTCTTGTGCCCCTGCAGGAACAAGCCGTGTTGCCTGGGCATTATTTCTTGTTTTGCTTTCCCTGAATGTTGGGGCTGCAGCATGGTACTTTTATAAATCTGGACGTTTTAAAAGGTACTTTGAACAATAACATAGCTAATATGTGGTATAATATGTAGTCATTCTGATATAACAGTATATGGACATAATGGACAACTGGGTCTAGTAATCTTTGGTAAGTAGAAAAAGGTAAAAAATCAAATGCAGGTACAGTCCAGACTCAGGTTTAATTCAAGGGGCTGGAAAACAATATAAATGTCTTTCTTTCTTTTTTTCTTTTATTTTTTGCACAATTCAAAATCAAACATCCGTTTTGAGGGTCTCAAATTGGATAATTTCCTCAGAAGCTTTTACAGAAGTGTCCCACATAGCAAACTTGGTATGGCCCAGATCTGGCCCACACAATGTGCTTACACATGGCCCACATACCACAATAGGCTGTAACTAAGCTGCTATTGAAAGACACATTGCAAACTAGCTTTTTGCAGCATTATCAAGGGCTGAGTACTTCTTAAAGCAACATATTTCATAATTCGTTCTATTAAAAAAGTATGTTGCAATACCACAGGTAGTTTATTAGTTGATGATCTATATAAATGACATTATTATTGGGAGTTGAGTCTCTCTTGCCTTGGTTGTGATTAGTTTTACTTGAATTTAATGTAAAACTCTATTATCTGAGGTATATTTATAGTTTTAGTTATGCAAAAGGCATTTTATTAAATATGCTTTTCTTGAGGAAACAATTTAAAGCAGCTGAGAAGTTAAAATAATAATTTTTCCATTACTATTGTCTAGGATATTAAACGTTTATAATTATAATAGTTTTATAATATTAAACATTCATTAGCAGATAAACTGAAAGTCTCTTCATGTTCAGTTGAAATTAAATGCAATTTTTAATTAGTGTTCTGCCCCGGCTTCCTCTAACAGCTGTGTGAGCAAATAAGGGACAACATCTGGACCGATGCCTCCACCAACGTGTCATTCCACAGTCAACTGGTAAACATACAGATGAATAGATGGAGGTATTTGGTAACCTTTCCTACCCGCGAATCCCTTTTATTTTGTGATTCAGGTTTATAAATGTTTTTGTCTTACTTTAAAATTGCAGTAATTGCATAAATACACGCAAAACATTGGTAACTGACTCCCACTCTCCTTGCATGTCACTCCCACTGCCACAGCATTTTGGATGTGGTTTTTACTGCCTGTTCCTGTTGTCATGAACAACTTAAGCAGTATTTGGGATCCATACTGTTTCCACCAACAGTTTGAAGTGCTTTCATCTGCAGTTGGCTGTTGATAGCAGTTATATTAATGTGGTTACAGCTGTTTTTGTTTTTCCCCATCTACTTATTATTACTACCCTTCATGAAGGGTAACAATGTTAATTGTATATTTTTAGGTTTAAAATGTACAGTACCAGCACAAGTTTAGACACACAGCCTGTTCATATTAAACAAAAGATGTATCAGCAGTACACCACGAAAGCCCACGCAGACAGTGGGTTCAAAACAGCTCGCAGACAGTACAAACACTCACACCAGACAACACCTTGAATGCAGTCTGTCTGTCTGGTGTATAATTACTACTGAGCAACCAAAGCTGAGGGTGCAAACAGTTGCTCTGTAATTTCAACCAGTATCATTAGTATATAATTTTATAACTATGCAGCCCTGCCTTTGTCCTTTTTATTTAAAAAAAAAAAAAAAGGAATCTCAATCACTCATCAGGGACTTTTTTATACAGATAAAAGATCCTCCATTTTGCCAGATTTATTATTTTAGGGTTTTGTTTTTTTTTTTTTTTAATTAAATGGTAAATGGCTTGTATTTGTATAGCGCTTTACTTAATGCCTAAGGACCCCAAAGTGCTTTACACTACATTCAGTCATTCACACATTCACACACTGGTGATGGCAAGCTACATTGTAGCCACAGCTGCTCTGGGGCACACTGAATTAAAATCAAAAGGTCTTATCCTGCTTAAATTTTTTCATTTAACCATCTATAAGAAACATTAAGTCTGAACATTTTCCGGGAGAGTTTAGTTAGAAAGGAAAGGTTTTGTTTCCCTTATTTCATGTTGTTTTCACAGACCTGTTGATTTCCTAGTGGAACTTTTGAACATCTGTTTTAGGTACGAACTTTTACTGCAGTGAATGATAGAGATACCAAATTTTTTTTCTGAGGAGCATGACTTTTGACCAGTATCTGACCTTTCCACAACCTTAGCCATCACAGCTATATGCAAAGCCTTAACCTATCCTGAAGCCTGAATTTAGCATGCAACAAAACAGCCAAGGCACATTTGGCTCTTTAAAACCTGTCAAAAAAGTGAAACCCAGTAAAAATCTCTTCCCTTTGGCATCATATCTTTACATATTAAAATTATGAGGTATTACTTACTGGTGGCTTCACAAAGACACTGTTATAAAAGCATGGATTACCTGGGGACAAACTGAGGTGAAATTAAAAGAAACTGATATATTTTTTTTGATTCTTTGTTTGTTACTTGTTACTTTTGTGAATGTCAATAAACAGCCAACAGTCTGGTTATGTGTTAATGTTGCCCTTTAACTACAGGACTTGCACCTTACTGATTGTTAATGACTTCCTGGGATCAACTTTGTAAGACGGGGCATAGCAGAAAATTTCTGAGAACCATTTTGTTATATTGTCGTTATCGTATACCATACTCTGGTGTCTCAAATGTGGCAGCTTTGCGTAAGAGATTAAATAACTAAAACATGGTCTTTGGTCTGCATTGTAAATTGATTTGTTTTTTTATTTGTCTTAAAAGTTAAATAAACCTGCATACATATACGTTTTTAAAATGTTTTTCTCATTCTTTTTTTCTTCTTTTTTTGCAACGATAAGGTGATTTCCAAAGATCTGTTAGTTGAAAACTTGTCGTATTTCATCATGGTGTGTAGTACAATTACGTCCATAAATATCTGGACAGAGGCACAGGTTTGTTTGTTTTTTAATTTGGTTCTGTACATTAACACATAATGAATGTTAAATAACACACCTCAGATGCATTGAAATTGCAGACTTTCAGTTTTAATTCAGTGGGTTGAACAGAAAGATTGCATAAAATGTGAGGAACTAAAGCATTTTATTCCTTCATTTCAGGGGCTAAAAAGTAATTGGACAAATTAAATAACTGAAAATGAAATGTTCATTACTAATACTTGGTTGAAAACCCTTTGCTGGCAATGACAGCTTGAAGCCTTTAAACTCATGGACATCACAACCTGAGTTTCCAATTTTTTTAATGCCCTGCCAGGCCTTTAC